GGGTGGAATCGTCCCCCGCCGCGCGCGCGCACACACACACACCACACACACACTCTCTCTCTCTCTCTCTCTCTCCCCGCTTTCAATCCCAATCTCGGAAACAGGATACTGGGCCAGATGAACCTTTGGTCTGACCCCCTGTAGCCGTTTTCTTATTGTTCTTCGCCCTGACACCGCCGCGCAGCGCCTCCAGCAAAGGGGAAACGCGCAACCCGACTCGAGATCGGTTTTCTCCTCGCTTTATTAAAATTACTAGTGTCTCTCCCCCGGCAAAGGAGCTTATTTGTTCACACGTTTCCCGGGCTCTGGGCAGGGACCAGGAGATTTTCTATCCACGGGGCGTGTTTTCAGAGAGAACTTAGTCTCCTGTAAATTCTCGCCACCCGATTTCGACCGGGATAGCAACCCGGGCGTGAGTTTCTACTGAACCGGTTCATGTTCCCTTAGCAACAACCCCCAAGAAACAGAACAGGGACTAACAACTCTTTGCCTGACATTGTGAGTGGCTCTGAAAAGAGCCTTTGGGGTGCAGAGGCTGAGTGGCGGCGGATCTCCCTCGCCTAGACAGCGGCAGCAGACGCCTGCTCACTTGCTCTTGGCTTTGTGGCTCTCGGTTTTCTTGGGCAGCAGCACCGCCTGGATGTTGGGCAGGACGCCCCCCTGCGCGATGGTGACTTTCCCCAGCAGTTTGTTCAGCTCCTCGTCGTTGCGGATGGCCAACTGCAAGTGCCGGGGGATGATGCGGGTTTTCTTGTTGTCCCGGGCGGCGTTGCCAGCCAGCTCCAAGATTTCCGCAGTGAGATACTCCAGCACCGCAGCCATGTAAACGGGAGCGCCGGCTCCCACTCGCTCCGCATAGTTCCCCTTGCGCAGCAGGCGGTGCACGCGGCCCACAGGGAACTGCAGCCCAGCACGAGAAGAGCGAGACTTGGCCTTAGCCCGGGCTTTACCTCCCTGCTTTCCGCGGCCAGACATTATGAAACTCCTTAAGAGAAGAAACGAACACGGCTCACACAAAATAGAAGTGAGAGGGAGCAAACCGCGTTCTTTGCTTTTTATACACTCGTAGCGACCAGGCCAGAAATTGGTGATTGGCCAAGCGAAAAAGCTCCTGAGAGAACCAATGGGAAGCCGACGTCTCAACCTGACCAATCGGAATGTAGATTCTGTTGTGGTATCCAATAGGAACGCAAGACTTGGAGTGGCGCTTTATTTGCCTACGAGTTTGTAAGAGAGAAAGGTAAGTTATTATTTAGGACCCAATAGGAAGGTAGTATATAGGCTACCCTCATTTGCATAGGGGCGCTATAAATAAAGGCTCGCCTACAGTGGTAGCTTATCATTCGGCTTGTCCTATCGGTGTTTTATCAAGTGAGCTGCTTTGAAGTCGGTATGCCTGATCCAGCCAAGTCCGCTCCCGCGCCCAAGAAGGGCTCCAAGAAAGCGGTGACCAAGACCCAGAAGAAGGGGGATAAGAAGCGCCGCAAGACCCGCAAGGAGAGTTACTCCATTTATGTCTACAAGGTGCTGAAGCAGGTTCACCCCGACACCGGCATCTCTTCCAAGGCCATGGGCATCATGAACTCCTTCGTCAATGACATCTTCGAGCGCATCGCTGGGGAGGCGTCTCGCCTGGCGCATTACAACAAGCGCTCCACCATCACCTCCCGGGAGATCCAGACCGCCGTGCGCCTGCTGCTGCCCGGGGAGCTGGCCAAACACGCCGTGTCCGAGGGCACCAAGGCCGTGACCAAGTACACCAGCTCCAAGTAACTGGTCTTTGTCTCTAAAAAACAACACAACGGCTCTTTTAAGAGCCACCTACTTGATCTATAAGAGAGTCTTGGTCACTTTCACTGACACGGTGTTTAACATCTAACTTTCAGACGTACTTAGTGAGTCTGTAACTTCTGTAGTTTTTCCCCGGTGTTAGGTTCTACTAATTTGTAACATCCTGGCGAATCACACACCTAATTCATATCAGGGCATGAGAGATGGAATTTACATGCACAATAAGTAAGTGAATTTACTCTTAATTTGAGTAAAGGGGTCTGGTAATGTTTTAATGGGAGAAATAGATCAGAACTTTTAAAGGACTATGCTGTTTTTAGCAGTTTTTAATTGTTTTCCCCCTGTATGATTAGAGTAGTATTAATCAGCTTAAGCAATACGTTCCATTTTTATATTTGGTTGTGACAGTCCAAGAACACTTTCCAGAACTTGGAGAACTAGAAAGCTTGTCTCTCACCAACAAAAATTGATTTGATAAAAATTGTTTCTTTCTGGGGTCTGGACCTTCTCTAGAGAGAAGGTGAGTCAGGTAATAAAATATTGAGTCTTATCAAATATATTACCTTATCTCTCTTAGTATATTCAAGGGCATTTCGATAAAATAAAAATATTCCTTTTTTCCATTTTATCAATATTAAGGTGTTTAAAGACATTCAGCAACATTCTGGATGGTATCCATTTCTTCCCAAAATATCAATTCAGTGGTTTAACTTAATTTTCCAGATTTTCAAATAAAAAACAATATATTTAAAATAAAAATTCTACACTGAGGGACAGATTACTGGTCTCTGGGGAAAAAAATAATAGAGGGTATTGCAGCTCATAGCCCTATAAGAAATGACACTAAAATTGTTTCAGAGCAGAGAAGGCCTAGAGACATGTGATGAAGGAAGGAATGCTAATGAAAACATTTTTAAGTTAAAAAGAACAGGAGTACTTGTGGCACCTTAGAGACTAACAAATTAAGTTAGCTACAGGTGGAAACAATTCTTCATTCGTTCCTGAAAGCGCCTGAGTTGAAAGAGATTTGATCAGTGTCTTTTACACTACGTGCCATTGTTAGTTTCTTTTAACTTGGGCTAGTTTTATTGAACAGATCAGATCAAGGAACAGCAGGACAGGGCTGGCGCCAAAAGGCAACTTTTTGAATTTGAAGTTAAGCGCTGGCTAATGATTGGCCAGAGTTCGCTGTGCGGTGCCTCATTGGTGGGAGCGAAGACGCGTCACATTATAGGGCGGGAGAGGGGGAAGTGTTTCCGGCCTCCTCGCTCAGTTCTCAATTTGGTCGGACAATACCCACACCGCCCCACCCCCACCGCAAAACACGCTTTCCCCAGCTCTGTAAGGCCGCTTCTGATGTCTTGGTTACAGCAAGTGGTGGTAAGACAACTCCCACCTGTTTATGCTCTCTGTCTGTGTGTGTATATATATCTCCTCAATATATGTTCCATTCTATATGCATCCGAAGAAGTGGGCTGTAGTCCACGAATGCTTATGCTCTAATAAATTTGTTAGTCTCTAAGGTGCCACAAGTCCTCCTGTTCTTCTTTTTGGTTACAGCAGTAAATAGAGAACCTTTCAAGGGAGCAAGTCCCCTCTCTGACTCTGTTCAGAGTAATTTCCCTTACTGCATAGGGAATCAATTATTGTTTGTCAAGGCCCAGACTCCAGAAACAATAATACAAAAATAACAAGTGATAAGTAAATAAAGATTTCAAAGTCTGTTCAAAAGCGTCTGACTGTCTGGATTTGACCAGCTGTCCACCTCTGCTTTATGGCATCCTTAGGTTTCTCATACCCCCAGATCTAGAGTCTAAAGTACAGCTCTTTTGTTTTCCACAGCATAAGCTGATTTAATAGAAGCTTTTGACTCTTTGGGTATGTTCCTGTTTTCCAGGAGATTGTACCCTGTCATCTCTCTCAGCAATGATTAACACCAGTCTTTCAAACGCCTAACTCTGTGGCTCAAATATTGTATTGTACAGAGCATCCTCACTGGCTGTATCCCACGGATTCATTGTTATTTAATCCTGTTATTGTAGTAGTGCTTAAGGGCCTCAGCTAGGGTGGTCTCCACAGTGCTACCTGCTGTGGAAATATAAAATACACCTCTGCCCTGATATAACGCTGTCCCCAGGAGCCAAAAAATCTTACCACATTATAGGTGAAACAGCATTATATCAAACGTGCTTTGATCCACCGGAGTGCACAGCCCCCCCGCCCCCCCCCACCCATGTTATATCCAAATTCGTGGTATATTGGGGTAGAGGTGTAAGTGACAGTAAGAGACTAGTTTCTGAGATTCAAGGGCCAGAAGAGACCGTTGTGGTCTGAATTCTAGCCTAACAGAAGCATAGGCCTTTCCCAAAATCCTGTTTGAACTAGAGCACAGCATTTAGTAGAAAATCATCCCATCTTGATTTTATAATTGCCAGTGCTAGAGACTTCACTATAACCCTTGGTAAATTGCCCCAATGATTAACTACCTTCACTGTTCTAAATATACACCTTATTTCCAGTCTCAATTCGTCTAGCCCAAGTACAGTAAAAGCCCATTATTAAATATTGGATCTCCATGTAGGTACAGACACTCCCCAGGTTACGCAAGATCCGACTTATGTAAATTCACACTTAAAGAAAAAGTTCCATAAGCCAGAAATAGGATTTTTGAGTTGTGGAAATTTTTGCGTAATGTACAGGTATATGTTTCCGATTTATGCAAAATTTGAGTTACACAAGGCTTTCCTGAAAGGAACGATTCCATAAGTCAGGCGGCATCTGTACTTATAGCGCATAGGGGATAAAAGTCACCCCTTAATCTTCTGTTTGTTAAATTAAATAGGTCGAGAGACTCAAGAAGCTCACTCGGGGCACTGGAACAATTTGTATAGTGGGTGTGCTGAGAGCCATTGAAACAAACTAACTGTGTATAATGGTGTGACGTTATTGACATAAACTGGGACCATATAGATCATTGTTGCAACCAAGGTCCTGTAGTGGCACCCAAATCTTGTATAAAGGGGGTCAAATGGGGTGTCTAGGACAAGGTTATGGTTTACTGGTTATGATTATGCTGTCTAT